CACCGCTTCGAGACCTTGCAGACCTTCCTCATCCTCCAGACCGTCATCGTCAAGAGCATCGAGTGAAGAAACGTCCCTGCATCATGGCGCAGCAACAGAGCCCCCTCGCATTGCGCAGCCTGGAGGAAGTGCCTGATCCTGCACCGGGTCGCCGATTCGTCCTCAAGAATCTCTATAATTTCTTGAACCGGGAGATTTTTGACGGCGCTTTGCCGTCGAAAATGGAAGTTCGGTGGGAGTCCAGCTTGCACACTTCCTTCGGGAAGTCTTCACCAGCGGGTCCCATCAGACTGAGCCACACCCTGCTATACAAACATCCATCTCGCGACTTCCTCATAGACGTCCTTCTGCACGAGATGATCCGCCAGAGGCAACACCAGTTCGCGCCGCAGGAGAAAGGGAACGGGCCGTACTTCATGGCCGAGATGGAGCGCATCAACACAGCATTCGGCAGGCGAGTCGCCGTCACGTTCAGTTCTCCGTACAGTCTCCGCCAACTCGACAAGGTGTGCAAGCACAGGTGGAAGTGCACCTCCTGCGCCTTCGTGGTCAAGAAATCGAGGGCGATTCCGCCTGGCGCTGAGAAACGTCGAGAGCACAGTGACACCGGCTGCTCGGGAGAGCTCGTCAAGATGACTCCAAACACGGTAGCGGGGGACATCGCTGCGTACTGCGCGGCGTCCCTGGCCGCAGAGGAACAGCTGCAGTAATGGTAATAGTGTTCTTAACTGTAACCTTGTCCACTCTCTGTACATAAATTGATTTGAAACAAAATAAATATGTAATATAAAAATTATATGATTAGAAAAAGTAATAAACAAATTAAAAAAAGGCTTGCGAAGACCAATACTCACCCTCCACGTGGGGCAAGCCGGGCAACGTACTCTGATAAAGTGCGGCAAATGAGTTTGGCAAAGGAAACGTTGCTCCAACGATTGAGACCTTAATTTGAACCACCACGGTTGCCCACCAACACGGTAAAACTGAAGCGTAGTTGTATGCTCCATTCAAGCATACAAGTACGCTTGAAGACTTTACGCTTGACGTCAAGCGTAGAAAATGAAATTCTCCCATGCACTTAGATAGACGGGAGAGAGGAAAAATGGAGACAGACGCACGACCACTCACTTTTCAGCGCGCCCAAACACGGCAAGGGCTTCGCTATCGCTCAGCCAACAATGAACTGGTTTTTCTTGATCCTTCATGCTAAAGACAATCTTTGCGAATCGAAGATAGGGGCAAAATTCATGCAATTCAAAGTCACAATGTGCTGCTTCGCATTCCTTCTCAGTTGAATGGTGCGGCACAATGGACAGGTGAAGGACTTGGCCCCTCCAGCAACGTCGCTCCAAGCTCCCTGTAAAAAAAGTAATAGAAAAAAATGTAAGTTTTAATTAAGTTAGTACGCACGCAACAGAGAAGTCAGGAACAAGGACACCTACATTGTTTTCAGGAGGCAGTGCAAAGCCACACACATAAAAGCCTACGAAGCATTTGCTTCATAGCTACGAAGAAAATGAAGGCGTTGTAGAATTGCTTTGTATTATGAAGAAATGCTTCGTATTGCGAAGAATTTTGCTTCATATTACGAAGCATTTCTTCGTAGATTTTACAATGCCTTCATTTTCTTCGTTTAGGTATTTTTGTGCCCTTGAGGTCTGTGTTGCCTCGTTACATCTATTTCCGGTTCTTATGAACTCGATTGGATGAATTGAAACTGGTTGGGATGTAAAGCGGACTGCAGGGGCACAAAAATACCTAAATATGTCAAAATGGGAATACCGTCAACGGGGGTAACTTGGGACACTTTTTCACGTTTTTTGAACGCCAGAGGCAAGATTCTCAACCCAGACCATTAGAGCCTAACTATGTTAAGTTTGACCCTTTCCCCATGATTTCATGCTCGTCTGGTTCATTTGCCTCGATCATATCGTTTACAAGCGGTCTCGAAAGAGTGTCCCAAGTTACCCCATGACCGGGGGTAACTTGGGACAGTATGTAATAAGCTACATTCCCATGCATCTATTGATGTTAATGGATATAATAAATTTAAGTCACAACATGTAGACCAAGAATTCAGGTCTAGGAACACTTGTAGGGCCGATATTGGACTATATCTAGGGCTCTGCGTGGAACTCTCTTTTCTACTGGTATTTTCCAGGCATTTTCTGAAAATTTCAAAATATGGATGACTAGAAGACAAAGCTGCAGAGCAAGGCATCTCTTTCCATCATCAGCCTAAAATCCGAAGTTTCAGTTATGTCAGACCGGGTCAGTCAACTCCTAGGAGGCTAGGACTGCTGGAAACATGAGGAAAAGACTGTCCCAAGTTACCCCGTAAAATTTCGATTTTTGATAAATTGAAGTCTGGATCGAAGATGGGAACAATATAATCAACGCCCTTTTGCAAACGTTATTGTCTGTGTATGATCTAACAACCCAGAGAGACTAATAGGCCAAATCTGCGTTTCCCCCGTTGACGGTATCTGTTTTAGACTCCTTAAGCTTTTTAAATATCAAACCATTCTGAACGGCGCCATTTCTTCCCAAGAAACTGCATTTTACTACATTGCCAATCAAATTCAATGTTCTACGAACTTGTACAAATTAGTTTCATTTATGTTTCGTTGTGTGACAATCGGTGACAATTTACTTCGCGGTTGCCAAATCGATGTTTTGAAACGTTTAAATCGTTGAAATACGGTAAATAGAGTGTGTCTGTCACTACCTGCCCCGGGGCCTCATTTCCTTTCAAAGTTTGATATTAAAGAAATGAAATCATATGTTTGAGCTGGTTCAGCGAAAACATCTTACTAAAGGTCCTTATTATTGATTGAAAGTGCAAGAACGATCAGCAGTGCCTTGTACTGGAAGAATGGCGACAAAACATTTTGTAAAAAAAGTCGTAAAAGGTAATTATTTTTTGCTTTTATTCTAGGGGCTATAAAGTATTTTGTTCAAAGTCTCACTTTCACTTGATCATGATTCCACAGCACAAGACCTTTAGATAAGCCACCTCAAGGTGTCTGAAAGTGCCATAGGGTGGCCAGGGCACCCCTGTGTCACTAGGTGCCCCACCCTCCCTTACTTTTTAAAGTTAACGCGTTACCGTTACCGTTTCTGCGGGTTTGAGTAACGGTAACGTCGTTACTTTACCGACTTCTGAAAAAGTAACGCGTTTCCGTTACAGGTAACGCAGTAACGCCGTTATCGTTACTTCAAATCCTAAAATTTCTTAAAAGCCACAATTTTATCGGTTAAAAGTGCTGGTGTAAATTAGGATTATTTTAAAATTCAAGAGAGTGAAATTTAAATGTTTAACATGTTCTCATGTAACTTCTGCACCTACTTCTCCCAATATTGCAACTCATTTTAAAATTAAAGTTCAGACAGTAAAATTTAAATGATAAACATGTTTAAATGTAAACGTCTGCACCTACTACCCCCAATATTGCCAATTCATGGCCAATGGGACCTCTATTTCAAGAGATGCATCTCTCAATCTGTTTCTGAGGGCAACAAATAAGCGTTAACACTCAGAAAAGTGCGAGTGATGAAATATTTTTTTTAGGCACGAAGTAGCCTTATAGTATCCCCCAGGATTCAGCCTCGCTGGGATTTGATCGCGTGGCCCCTTATGCAAGTCGAAACCTCTCTGTACGATTTTGATGAGATTCTGCAGACTGGTAGAATTCTGAGACGTGATTTCAATTCTGGAATATGGTTGAAATCTTAGCGATAAATTTTGAGAAAATTGCCGTCAAAATCACTGTTTCCATAGCAAAGCTCGACTCGTCAACGAAAAGGGAAGAGAGAGGGGGGAGCCGAGCCAAACCCAACCAATAGCATGGCTCCTTTTCGCTTGTGTACAGGTTACCCCAAAAACGGTCGCTTCTTTAAAAAAGGACGTTCGAATAAAAAACTTCCCGCGACCGTGATAGAACAGATGTAACAATAGCACAAGAGGGTTTCTTGGACGCAGTCTTTTCATTGGCACTGCCTGATGAAAATTTTTAATGGGAATGTCTTTGCTCATGCGCGGAACATTACACAGTCATACCAACATGGAAACCTACACTCATTGTGAGTTTTGTGTTTGTTTTATTTTCAATGTGTATTTTCTACCACAAAATTAATCTGTTTAAATTATGACATTATATCTGAATATATTTTGAGGACACATGTTGAAGAAAAGATTTAAAAATATTGAAAAAATAGAGCAATTTTTTCATTTGTCAACTCTTTACTGAATCAATAAAACAAAATTATACTTTTTAGCTCTGTCTTAGCTCTAGTTTTTGTTTGATGGTTCTTTTCATTCAGTTAGCACGATGACCACATCGCTCCACCTCGCGACTTTCAGTGCTGATGTTCCTCGAACAACACTGACCTGCGATTCGAAACCATCCCTCCTGAGTTTATAAAGTTTGTCAAACCAACCGTCGTGGTGTTGTTACGTTGTGAATGAGAACTATTACACAGAATTGAAGAAAACATGACTAGAGAACCGCCTTTTGAAACAAGCCAAACAATTCAACGTCAGCAACAATGGCGGGGCAGTTTTAACGCGCGACTGCTCGTGTTTTCGGCTTCGCTATTTTCGCAAGGGCGCAGTTGCCGAGAAGATTGTTGCCAACCCGCGAAAATTAATTTACTGCCTCCTTTCCCCCACGAACATTTTAATAATGATTGACTTCAAAGATGTTCCACTGTGGAATACATTAGCATTGGAATTTTTCGAATTTTACGGCATTTTGATTTCTTTTTGTTGCCAAGTTTAAATTTTGACGGGTGGCACATCGACCACACTGGTACCACTGCCATTCGTACCCAAACCATCCCCTATCCCTTTTACACAACTTTTTTTCCTTTCTCCACACTCCTACACAATAACCATATTGACTTCGTGACTCCTAGGATTTCTTGAAATCGTATTTTTTTTGAGTGGACGCTTATTTGTTGTTCTCAGAAACAGATTGAGTGCCTTGGCAAATGAGCTGACCACGGCAGGGAGAGAAAGGGAGAAAAATATAGGTTTGTAGCTCTTTTTGATGTCTCGCGGTAACAGTAACGCCGTTACCGCGTTACTCGTCTTTGGTAACGGTAACGTCGCTACTTTACTCATTTCTCAAAAAGTGACGCGTTACCGGTATCGCTACAATAAAGGTTACGGTAACGCTGGTAAAGTCTTTACTCTTAAAAGTAACGTTAACAACCCTGGTGGAGGGCACGTGCACGTCAGGGAAAACTTACAAAGGTGCAAGAGTCATAGAGGGCGGAGATAAGCGAGACGCTCTTTTCGCTAACCTCAATTCCTCCGAGCTCCTGATACATGATGCCATGTTAGTCGAGACTCTGTAAAGTCATGTCAACTGTAGTCGAAGGTGAATCTCAGAAGTTCTGCGATTGGTGGTTCGTCTCCGGCCGTATCCGTGGGACATCGGGCGTTAACAATTCACCGATCCCAAACCGAGCTGGATCAAACACTTTGTTGCTACGTAAGTCACAACTTCGCTGGCATTTAAAATCTCAAATCGGTATGAAATCAGTTATGCTCTCACCGATAGTTGGTCGACCACGACTACTCGCAACCTTAGTGCCGGCTGAGTACGGTTGTCTCCTTGGCGAAAGCGAAGGACGTCTAGCATCCTCCAATGTCTCCTTCTTCCTCGCCTTTTCCTTTCCTTTTAGGGGACTGGACAGGGGAAGA